GGCTGAGGTAGAATCACCTGGAGCCCAGGAGGCAGAGACTGCGGTGAGCTGAGATCGCACCACTGCATTCCACCATAGGTGACAGAGTGAGACCCCATCTCAAAAAATAAAAATAAAATAAAACAATAAAAATTAAAAATATATTCATTTTTATTTTCTTCTGTTTTTTAAGCCTTTGTTAGTATTTAACTCTTCATCTAAAATTTGATATGTGGTAAGAGATGAAGATATAATTTTTAAAGTTTTCCAAAATCTTTACTCAGTTGTTCCATTACCACTTGTTGAACAATTTTTATGCTTCCTTTAATACACAACCAAATTCTAACTGCACTGGAGTTTCTATCTGGCCGATCTATTCTATTTCACGTACCTGTCTGTTGATTTTGGTGCCAGTACCACATGAGCTCAATCCCTATGGCTCTATAATGTATGAAATATTAAGATCCGGTAGGGTAAGACCATTCAGTATTTTTTTGTTTTCAAAAATTTCATGGGGTGTGGTAGCTCACACCTGTAATCCCAGCAATTTGGGAGGCTGAGGCAGGAGGATCTCTTGAGCTCAAGGAGTTTAAGACCAGCCTGAGCAATATGGCAAGATGAGACTCCATCTCTACAAAAAATACAAAAAATTAGCCAGGTGTGGTGGCGCCAGCCTACAGTCCCAGCTACTCCGGAGGCTGAGATAGGAGGATTGCTTGCACCTGAGAGGTTGAGGTTCCGTGAGCTGTGATCCAGTCATTAAATCCAGCCTGGGTGATAGAGCCAGACTCTGTCTCAAAAAATAAAATAAAATTCATGGTTTTCTATGAGGGAGCTTCTACCTCTCTTCCATCCACTCATCCTTATATATATTAATAAATATACGAATATTTAATATAAATATATATTTATTAAATATATAAGAATATATACAGATTAAAATATATATCTATTTCAGTATTTCCTTGGAAAAATTCCTCAAAGTGGCACAATTGGGTAAATACATATCCTTATTAAATATAGATAAGGATATATATTTAATATATATTTATGAATATAATAAATATATATTTATATAGACCATATATTAATAGATTATATAATACATATATTTAATATATATTTATTTTGAGTAATATACTATATGCTATATATTTATAAAATGTTTATTCATATATAATATATTAAATATGTATTTCTATATTACAGTATATATTATGTATTAATAAATATATTTATAAATATATATTTATATTTAACCTATATATAACCTAAATATATATTTATATATTTATTACAAATATATATTTATATAATATATAGGAGTATTATATATATTGAAGTATTCATTAGAATGGCATGAAATCCATACATTAATCAATTGATACATTTTATAAGTAAGAATTCTGTGACAACAGTCAGGCCTTAATCCTGAGCCATCACTCCTCCAGAAGACAACATGGAGAGAGGATTAAGAGCATCTGCCTTAGGCCGAGGCGGGCGGATCACAAGGTCAGGAGATCAAGAACATCCTGGCTAACACGGTGAAACCCTGTCTCTACCAAAAAATTCAAAAAAATTAGCCAGGCACGGTGGCGGGCGCCTGTAGTCCCAGCTACTCAGGAGGCTGAGGCAGGAGAATGGCGAGAACCCAGGAGGCAGAGCTTGCAGTGAGCCGAGATCGCGCCACTGCGCTCCAGCCTGGGTGACAAAGCGAGACTCCACCACAAAAAAAAAAACAAAAAAAACAAAAAAAGAGCATCTGCCTTAACGTTCTTAGCTTAGCTGGCTTGGCAAGTTACCTAACCTCTCTATGCCTCAATTTCATTATCTATGCAATCATTTTTATAATTTAATTAGGCCTAGAAAATAGCAACTATAAACATCTCTTACAATCAAACTTAAAAATAATTAACTCTTAAATTTTATTTTATCCACCCAAAAACTACTTTTAAGCCTCCAAAGGAAAGAATATAAGGAAAAACCAAAGGTAATATAACCGTCCTTGGTAGATAGCTCCACTCGTGTCCAAATCTACAATCCCCAGTGGAATTACAAGTATCAGAAGGGCTGGGATGTTTTTTCAGTCTCCGACCTGACACATACTTACACACTCGTACATAATAGGCATTTAGTAAATATTTTCTGAATGATTAAGTGAATTATGATGGTTCTCCTGATTCTAATATTCCAGGACAGTAAAGACAACAGCCTTTCCCACATTCTGTTAAGTGGCCAGAGAGAATCAGAGACTCCTTGGGAAAATTCAAGGTAAACTGAGACTTCTTTAGGCCCTGCCAAGTGGCCCACACACTAAGGGAGGAGTGCACACTGGGGGATCTGGGGGGAAATCTTAGGCTGTTTTAAAAAACCAATTCAATTAGTTAAAGAAGACCCTGGAGTCTTGTCTCAGTATCTCAGAGTTTCCTGCCTCCCTTACACCATTAGGTTGTTTTAATCTCTTCTTAAAGTGAAAAATGGTCTAACAAGATCCGAATGCTGTTTAAGATATTTGTTCACAGCATTATTCACAACAGCTAAAAGGTGTAGGTAAAGCAAGTGTTAGTGACAGAGAAACAAAATGTAGTGTAGCCAAACAATGGAATATTACCGAGCCATAAAAAGGAATGAAGTGCTGAGACATGCTGCAGCATGGATAAACCCTGAAGATGTTATAAGTGAAAGAAGCCAGTCACAAAAAGACAAAACACTGCATGATTCCACTTACATGAGCTATGTAGAGTAGTTGAATTTATAGGGACAAAAAGTAGAACGGTGGTTGCCAGGAGGTGAAGGGAAGGGGGAATGGGGAGTTATTGTTTAATGGTACAGTGTTTTAGTTTTGGAAGATACAAAGTTTTGGAGATGGGCGGTGATGACGGTTGCGCAGCAGTGTGACGGTACTTAATGCCACTGAATTGTACACTTAAAATGGTGAAGATGGGAAAATTTATGTTATGTATATTGTATCACAATTTTTAGAAAAAAGTTAGTAATGCTGTTTAAAGATGCTTTCAGAAGTTGTAGATAGCTGAATATGTGGAGGTTTCTGGAGGGTGGCCCCACCAGGAAAGGGCATTGAAGCTCCAAGTCCCATCCCCTGTACCTTCTCCCACACCTCTCTTCCAACTGACTGTTCATCTATATCCTTTTTAGTTGTTGTTTTTTTTTTTTTTTTGTCTTGCTGTGTTGCCAAGGCTGGAGTGTAGTGATGCAATCTCGGCTCACTACAACCTCTGCCTCCTGGATTCAAGAGATTCTCCTGCCTCAGCCTCCCAAGTAGGTGGGATTACAGGGACCTACCGCTGCACCTGGCTAATTTTTGTATTTTTAGTAGAGACTGGGTTTCACCCATGTTGGCCAGGCTGGGCTTGAACTCCTGACCTCAAGAGATCCACCTGTCTCAGCCTCCCAAAGTGCTGGAATTACAGGTGTGAGCCACCATGCTCAGCCCATTTTTAATATCCTTCATAAAACCAGTAAAAAGCCAGCAGGGGGGCACCAGCAGCTTCCAGGGCATGAACATCTCCACCACCCAGAAGAGTTCTGGATCCTGGGCTACCTCTTCATCAAACAGTATTTTGCCATCTTTGAAAGGGCAAACCATCAGATTGGCCTAACTCCCGTGGCTTAGTCTAAGTCTTTCTGACCACTTTCCAGGAAGATCTGGCCTAAGTCCTGTGCCCACTGTAGATGTATATAATTCTCCTGACTGTTCTTCCTATGAGATTGTAGAGGTGGACTCTTGCCCCTGTTCCTGGTCACACCAAAAAGGTAGAATTAAATCATAACCTACAACAGCAACAAAAAAGATGCTTTCAGAACTAGTATTCCAGAAAGGAAGAAAACACCAGAGTGCACAGAGCTAGCTCACCTATTTCATGACCTGATGATAGAAGATGAGCCCAGCTGTGGGGAGGGAGAGAAGGGTATTACACGGGTTTGAATTAGGAACAGATGCCTGCCTGAGGCCAGTCTAGTTTTCTGATTCTATCACAACAGGGACTCATGTTATGTTTACCCGCCAGCTGGCCTGTCAGACCCTCCCCATCCATTAGATATGGTCTAATACATTTGAACCTCTAAAGAAAAGAGTCTACATTCAGCTCTCCTTCCTCCCAGAAGGCTCCTGTGTAGCAATGCAGATGTAATTAGCACATGGGCATCGCTCCACTTCATCCACCAACACATCAAAGACACGGGTACTTGCCAAGGTAATACATGCTCCTCCATACACTTCTATCAGAACGGTAGGTGCGTGGTACTTGCCTTACATCCATACAAAGGAAAGTGGCCCCTCTAAGGGTTCATCCCAGAGGAAGGACAGCGGCTCTAAAGATGACCTGAAGGTTAGTTTCCTGCATAACAAAGTGAAAACAGCAGTTTTTAAATGGCAATGCCTCTACCAAGGACAAACATAATGTTTACGTCCTTTTAACCTAAAATCCCAATACAGATAATATATATACCCAGACATACAAATGAACTATCTTTATCATTGCCATCATCAACATCATCACCACACCACCATTATAGTGGAGAAAAGGGAGAGATTTGCAGGATCTATAGCAGAGATGGCAGAGGAGGAGGAGGTGGCAATAATTTCTAGGTTTCTACCCTAAACCGAGTGGAGTATATAGGAGGTGCATGTTGAGCGGAACCGAGAATGCAGTGGAAGAGAAATTGGTGACGGCCGACTAGGTAAAGGCGGAAGGAAAGGAGGACGGCAGAGACATAGGTAGTTTAAGAGGGTGTGTAAAACGGAAGGAAGGGCTGCAACACACGAGGAACGCCGGCTGCGCCATCACAATCAACGCGACGCCTTCGGATTTGTCATTTGCCCAAGTACCATGAAATATCGCGAGAGCTCAGATCCCAAAACTAACTCCACTTTCCTGTAGGCCATTCCCACCTGCCTCCACTCCTCGCCCCGCCCCGCCCCGCCCCACCCCGCCCCAGGAGACCCAGGCCCCGCCCCTCGTATCCTAGGCTGTTCAGGAGTGTCAATAAAGTTGCAGCGCTTTGTAGTTTGCGGCGGACAACATGGCGGCCTTCATGCTGGGCTCGCTGCTTCGGACGTTCAAGCAGGTCAGGCTCCTACCTTTATCCACACCGCTACCCCTCACCCCTGAATCTCGTAACCCACGGGTCCCCCACGACTCTGCCATCTGTAGTGCTCAGTGAGGACTAGTCCAGGGGTTCTCCCTCCGCCCTCTTCCCCGCTTGGGCTTGGTTCAGGGGAGGTCCGAGCTGCAGATGTCAATTTGGTTTTCGTAAGCATATAACTAACTAGTATTGAAAGATGTGAGATTGACTCCGATTTATAAGAGAGTGAGTAGATGGGAGACGAGGTACGAGGATTGAGCCTTCAGAGACTTCTAACGTTAAGAGATGAGACCCGTGCAGAGGAGACTGAAAGGGGCTGTCAGCTAGGGAGGTGGAAAACTAGGGGAGTGGGATGGCCGGGAAGCAAAGGATGACAGAATTTCAAAGTGTAAGGAGTGAGCAACTCTGCTCAAAGTTGATAAATCAATTAAAAAGAAGTGCTGAGAATTGGCTGACGAGTTTAGCAATGTGAAGGTTGTTGGAACCTTAATCACAGGTGTTCTGATGTTGTTATGGAGACGAAAACGTTCTAGAGAATAGGAGGAAAGAAATTGGAGTATAGATAAGCCTTTAAAGGAGGTTTGCTGTAAAGGAGAACAAAAAAACTTGGGTCAATAACGGGGGCGGCGGGGGGTTGTTTTAACATGGCAGGGAAAACAGCGTGTTTGTGTATGAAAGGGAAAGATCCTGTAGTATTAAAAATTGATTACGTAGAAGAGGGAAGAATTGCTAAAGCTGTGCCTTTATGTAGGTAAGAGGCAATAGAGGCTGGTTCGAGTGCAGTGATGTTTAAAACTAATTGACACAACCAGATACAGATTTATTTGTTCCTTCTCCACTCTCACTGCTTCACTTGACTAGCTGTAAAAATACCAAAAACATTAAAAAAAAAAAAAAAAAAAAGGCGATGGGGTCTTGTGCATGAAGTCATGAAGTATGATCTTAGGAACTTGGACAGTTCATCTGTAGCAGTGTTGTCCATAGAAATATGTGAACCACATGTGTAATTTAAAATTTTTCTAGTAGCCACATTTAAAAAGTAAGAAGTAGATGAAATTAAGTTTAATATAATATTTAACCAGGTATATCTGAAATATTGTGGTTCTAAACATGGAATCAACAATGACATATGAAATAGTTACATTCTTTTTTTCATACTAGATTTTCAAACACTTAAAGCATATCTCAGTTTGGATGATAAATTTCCCATAATTAAAATGGAAAATATAGTTCTACCAAAATAATAAAGTTGTTTAATGTTTACAATGCTTTGGTTTTTAATTTTAAATTAATTAAAATAATTACATTCCCCAGTTGTACTAGTTATATTACAAGTGTTTAATACCCCTATGTGGTTAGTGGCTACGCTGTTGGACAGAGTGGATCTTTGATAACAGGAGGGAATGTAGAACATATGATACAGATGCTAGTAAGTGAGTCACTGTGATGGTGAGCATTTATAGAAATGCTCTTTTGATTTCTTCTAATTTTATAATTAAGGAGAAGGTGAAGTCATCAGCTGAGTGTGAGGATGTGGGAGCAAGTGTCAGAGATTTAAGGGGAAAGAGACCATGTAAAAGAGTTGGAAATGGACAGAAGGAATGGTCAGGAGAATTGGAGTAAGTACAGAGAAGTGAGAGAGAGGCCAGAGAGTTGATGGTGTATACAAGAGAACATTGTATTTATAGAACAAAGGAATTCAGGCTGGGTGAGAGAGGACGAAAGGAAATCAAAAGCTGAGTGAAAAAAGTGACAAATGGTAGGATCAATGGATTGAAAGTCCCAGAAGCATTGTTACTGGGGTGTTAGAAGGAGCAAGCTAGAAAGAAGTGATAGAGAATGAGATATACAAAGTGAGATAATGGAGAACTTGCACTAATTAATAATAAAATACCCACGACATGGGCATGGAATTGAATAGTTAAACAAGAGTAACAAAAATCATTGAAGGAGAGGTGTTAAGAGATCAGAGTGATTAGGGTATAATTTCATGTATGTTGAAATCACCAGGAATTAAGATAGCAAGAATATTGGAGAGAGTGACAGTAAGCCAGGATCCAAAATCGTGGAAAAATGAAAGGGAGTGGCAGGGGCTTTGGTAGATGACTGTAATGATGAGAGGTAGTGGAAGGTAGTAAGCCCAATGGCATGAGTCAAAGCCAGGAGCTTTCAGGAAGGAAGGAGAACTGCAAGTTGCAATGAAGAGCAAGGAAGACACTTACCTATCCCATCTCTAGGCCCAGTAATGGAAGAAAAAGGAGCTACAGGAAAAGCTGTGAGGAGGGATTTAAAATTTGGCCAGAGCGAAAGGTGAAGGAGATGTTAAGAGAAGTTGAGAATTTAAAAGATTTTGATGGTAGACCATGGATTGAGAGGGCCCAGTGGAAAGGTTTTAGGAGCTGAAGAGGGGTAAGAGATGGGGGCAGGATAAGATGTGTACAGAGCAGAATAGATGCAGCCTTAATCTATAAAGCACCATTATAAGCTGGTAAGGAAATACATCACAGTAGAAATGTAAAGAACATAAAAGCATTCACAGAAGAAATACTGTAATAGGCCAATAAATATTTTATTTTAAAAGTGTGTTACTTCCGGATTTCAAGACCAGCCTGACCAACATGGAGAAACCACATCTCTACTAAAAATACAAAATTAGCTGAACGTGGTGGCGGGCGCCTGTAATCCCAGCTACTCGGGAGGCTGAGGCAGGAGAATTGGTTGAACCTGGGAGGCAGAGGTTTCAGTGAGCTGAGGTCATGCCATTGTACTCCAGCCTGGGTAACAAGAACAAAACTCTGTCTCAAAAAAAAAAAAAAAGTGTATTACTTTTCTAGTAAGAAAACAAGGTATGCAAAATAGAAAGAAAGACTATTTCATTCTATGAAAATTTGTTTTCTAGGAGAATTTGATTAGGAATACTTTGAAAAAGAATTCAAAGAAGAAATGCTTAACCTTGTTTTCTAAATCCCCTGTACCCTCAATTTCATAGGTAAAAGCAAACCTCACATTGCCCCTCAATGTGAATGGTTTCTTTCAGCCAGAATGATTTCTCCTTGATCTTATGAATATATCTTGTTCTTTTCTATGTTTTGTTTGGACAAACTAGCTTTTCTCCCCTCCCTTGTCCCCACTTTAGTCAAAATTCTGTCAACATTTCAAATCCCGTGTTTCTGGGACAAGCATTTCCAGCCATGGTTACCAAGGCATTCACTGGACTCAGTCATATGCCACATCAATGTTTACATTCTATTCCTGCTTATCTTTTTTCCAAAAGGTGATTGCAGAATTGTTATATTTCCCCATGGAACTTTTGTTTAGTAATGTGAGCACTGGAGATGTTCAGTTTATCTTTTGTTAATAGACTGAAAAAATGTTGGCTTTCTATTTATAGTATTCTTATTTTCAGTTTTATATTCTGCTGTACATATAATTCTTTTACAAACATCACTTATCAGAAGCCATCATTTTTCTATAGGGGCAATTTAATTAACGTGTAATATTTCCTCTGGTTTGAGAGAGACTTACGTTTCTTGCGATCTATACTCCCTTTGCCCATACTGTCAGTCAAAACTATAAATTATCACCATGAAAATGTGAGACAACAAGGAATATACTGTCTTATTACTGGACAACTAGTGCTGAGAAGTATCAGGTCAGTGATAGTTTTAAAGTACCCTTTGACCTAGCAGTTTTGCTCCTAATAATTTATCCTCGTTGGGCACAGTGGCTCATTCCTGTAATCTCAGCGCTTTGGGAGGCCGAGATGGATGGATCACTTGAGGTCAGGAGTTTAAGACCAGCCTGGCCAACATGGTGAAACCCCATCTGTACTAAAAATACAAAAAACAAAAAATAGCCAGATGTTGTGGCGGGCACCTGTAGTCTGAGCTACTCAGGAGGCTGAGGCGTGAGAATTGCTTGAACCCGGGAGGCGTATGTTGCAGTGAGCCGAGATTGCGCCACTGCACTCCAGCCTGGTTGACAGAGCTAGATTCCATCTCAAAAAAGTAAAATAAATAAATAAATAATAATGTATCTTCAAGATATATAGGAATACATATGAAATGATTTCTAAGACATTATTCACTGTAGCATTGTTTATAATGATAAATAGTGAGGTCTGTCCAGCAATACGTGGCAGGTTAAATTATGATGCTTCTATATAGTGGATTATGCAATATGAAGAAAACGGGGAAGCTTTTTACATTCAGATATTGAAAGATCTCTAACGTATATTGTTAACTGAAAAGAGGGAATGAAAAATGGGAGGGGAGTGTATACAGACAAAATCTCTGAGGGATATACAAGAAACTAGAAACAGTGGATACCTGTGGGGCATGGGAGTCACTGGGCAGGTGAGGAATGAGGTGCGGGGAGACTTTTCACTGTGTGTCTTTTTATACCTTTTCGATTTTTGAACCATTTGTACTTATTGGCCTAAGTACAGGTCGAACAGAATAATAAAAATTTCTGAAAATCTGTCTTTCACCTTCCAATACATATGTTATTGCATTATATTATTATGATTTTGACTTAATATACATCCATAAAACTTATTTATTCTGAATTAGGAAGTCTATTATCTTAAATTATTAAACTGATCTAAAACAACTCTTAAAAGAACACTAGGTCATAAATAGTGGCAGAAAGAGAATTGCAGGATTGAGGAACACTCAGAATGTGGGCCTGGCTATCCTTCACTGGTCCCTTGTCTCTGTCTTTCAGATGGTTCCTTCATCAGCTTCAGGCCAAGTTCGAAGTCACTATGTAGACTGGAGAATGTGGCGCGATGTGAAGAGACGAAAAATGGCCTATGAATACGCAGATGAGAGGCTACGTATTAATTCACTCAGGAAGAATACCATTTTGCCAAAAATTCTTCAGGTTAGCTAATTAAGATGAGTCCCTTTGTACCACAAGATCCTTAACTCACATCAGATCGCTTTTGATACTGTTTGTTTTGACTTGGTATCAATATAATTTCTGGAGAATAAGATCCACATCAATATAAACAAATAGCCTTGAAACTGATTTTGGTGAGTTTCAAATTAAAGACTATTCACTCCTAACTAGCCTTTCAACTGTTTCATTATGCCAGCCTTAGAAAGTACTGGTAAACTGGGTGTTATTTTCACCTAAGGTCTCTCCCTGACTTCATCCCAATCTTGTTTTTTTTTTTTTTTTGAGATGGAGTCTCTCTCTGTCCCCTGGGCTGGAGTGCAATGGTGCAATCTCAGCTCACCGCAACCTCTGCTTCCCAGGTTAAAGCAATTCTCCTGCCTCAGTCTCCTAAGTAACTGGGATTACAGGCGCATGCCACCATGCCCAGCTAATTTTTGTATTTTTAGTAGAGACAGGGCTTCACCATGTTGGCCAGGCTGGTCTCGAACTCCTGACCTCGTGATCCACCCATCTGGGCCTCCCAAAGTGCTGGGGTTACAGGCGTGAGCCAGTGCGCCCAGCCTCATCGCAATCTTTTAACTGGCAAGGCATTGGGAGGCATTGCTGATGTTGAAGGCTATGTGCCTAGCACACAGCCTAAACTGTTCCTTATCCAGTACCATTCTAAGCCTGTCTCCCTGAACTCCCTTGCCCACCTCTGTGTGCTGAAGTGCCTTTCCATTAAGGCTTACTTTCTTGTCATACTGCTTGGGTTGAATAAGAGGATGTCTACCCTGCTTGGCTTTCTGAAGCATAAAGCCCTGCACCTAAGTGGTGATGTAGCATATCTGCATTAAGCAGGCTTATTAGGGAGATATAAATTAAACTCAAGGCCACTCAACTTACTGAGAACTCAGATTTTAAAAAAACTACATTTAGAGAAGTTGACAGAATGATATACATCCTATTTATTACTATGGTTTCTTTTTAGTGTTGTCTGGATTAAGCCAGATGAGCAGAAAACTGAGGGCCTTGGACCACTGGGTTATGGCTTACACTAAAGTGGCATTAAGCTACTTTCCTACATTTAGGGAGTAATAAGAAGTGGCAGGCCAGGCACAGTGGCTCACACCTGTTATCCCAGCACTTTGGGAAGCCGAGGCGGACAGATCACCTGAGGTCAGGAGTTCAAGACCAGCCTGGCCAAACCCTGTCTCTACTGAAAACTTAGATGGGTGCAAGTGGCACATACCTGTAATCCCAGCTACTTGGGAGGCTGAGGCAGGAGAATTGCTTGAACTTGGGAGGCAGAGGTTGCAGTGAACCGAGATCATGCCACTATACTCCAGCCTGGGTGATAGAGCAAGACTGTGTCTCAAAAAAAAATATATATATATGGGGCCCCCAAGAAACTGAGCTCAAGACGTTGATCATAGAGGCAGGGAAGCAGGATGGTGGCTGCTTGGAGCTAGGAGGACTAGGGTGTATGGGAGGTATGGGGGACAGGGGGAAATCAGGAGATACTGGTCAAAGCGTGCACTTTCTGTTGTAAGGTGAATCAATTCTGTGGAGCTAATGCACAGCACCGTGACTATAGTCAATAGTACTATATTGTGTACTTGAAATTGCTAAGAGAGTAGATCTGAAGTGTTCTTAACACACACACACACACAAGGTAATCTTGTGAGGTGATGGATGCGTTTATTAGCTTCATTGTGGTAATCATTTCACAATGTGTATGTTCAGCAAATCATGACATCGTATGCCTTAAATATATGCAATTTTTATTTGTCAGTTATACCTTAATACAGCTGGGGGTGTGTTGTTTGAGTACCTTTAGGAAGACACCCAGAAGAAGTGTCTCTGGTATGACTAGCAGCAATAACTGTGCAGAGTCTGAATCATGTAAACTGATCATGGTTCTCTGCTGCCTGCTAAGTTTGTTACAAGTCAAATTTATGTCCCAGTTCTAACAAACTTACAGGCTTTCACAGCATGCACTTTTGTGTTCCTGAGGCTTTTATCTTTTCTACTCTCATTTCTCTTTGCCCCAGTTTCCTCATTTGTAAACTGCCTTAAATCTTTCGGGGAACAAGGAGGAGTATGTATCAACCAACCAACCAATCAATCAGTAATTTCTAGCTATTCTTTAAAGTCCACCTCCATGAAACTTGGCTTCAATCTTCCTGCCCAGTCATTTCTTCTCTCCAGTTCCTTGTATAGCATTTATTGTTTACTACTCAATGGCTCAGTCATGTTGTTTTTTCGGTTTTTTTGTTTTGTTTTGTTTCGTTTTGTTTTTGAGATGGGGTTTTACTCTTGTTGCCCAGGCTGGAGTGCAGTGGCACGATCTCGGCTCACCACATCTGCCTCCTGGGTTCAAGCGATTCTCCTGCCTTAGCCTCCCGGCAGCTGGGATTACAGGCATGCACCACCACACCCAGCTAATTTTGTCTTTTTAGTAAAAACGGGGTTTCTCTATGTTGGTCAGGCCGGTCACAAACTACCGACCTCAGGTGATCCGCCCGCCTCAGCCTCCCAAAGTGCTGGGATTACAGGCGTGAGCCACCGCGCCTGGCAATCATGTTGTTTTATGTAATTCTGTTAGGTTATAATGGTAACACATGCATAAGCTTTTGTGTTAATTTTTGGTTTGTATATACTTTCATTTAATTTGTGTTCTTTTAATGTGTTAATTATTTTGCTTGCACCACAGTCTAGCACAGGGTCCATCATACTTGTCAGCACACTTACCAGATTAAAGTGAATATTATGAACACTCGCACTCTTGAACACATACATAGGAAGAAATCTCTACTGACAAAACCTGAGCCCTAGCTACTGCTGTAATCCCCCTTTTCTCCCCTCAACCATTTTGCCCTTACCTGATTCATCCTCTACCTTGCAAATGATTTTTTAAAAATATAAACCTCATCTGATCTCTCCCCTTTACTTCTCCAGTTGTCAGAATCTTTACCATAGACATCAGGGCTCCATGTGATACTCTCCTTCCTCCTTGTCTAGTCTTATCTCAAGCCATATTCCCTCCTATTTGATCATCAGCCCAGAGGTTTCAAACTTCTGTGATTCAAAAAACGTGAGGAGGCAACAGAAATACATTCACATACTTTACCAATGACTTAAACAAAAGTATGTAGCTGTACTATTCATATTCGCTCAAATCGGAAGATGAGACAGATGATCATCAAAGGTAGGATGGATAAATGAATTATGGTACTCATGCAATGAAAATTACCTGCCAGTGGCCGGGTGTGGTGGCTCACACCTGTAATCCTAGCACTTTGGGAGGCCGAGACAGGTGGATTGCCAGAGCTCAGGAGTTTGAGACCAGCCTGGGCAACGTGGCAAAACCCCATCTCTACTAAAAATACAAAATTTAGCTGAGTGTGGTAGTGCACACCTGTAATCTCAGCTACTTGGGAGGCTGAGGCAGGAGAATCACTTGAACCCAGGAGGCAGAAGTTGCAGTGAGCCGAGATTGTGACATTGCACAATCTGTCACCCATAGCCTGGGTGACAGAGCGAGACTCTGTCTCAAAAAAAAAAAAAAGGAAAAAAGAAAGTTAACTGCCAGTGAGAAGGAGCAAGATACATGTGCAACAATGTAATGTGATCTGTGTAATAATGTGATTTCCCTTAGGACGTGGCCGATGAAGAAATCGCTGCCCTCCCCCGGGATAGCTGTCCCGTTAGAATCAGGAATCGGTGTGTTATGACGTCCCGTCCGCGTGGTGTGAAGCGGCGCTGGAGGCTTAGTCGTATAGTCTTCCGTCACTTAGCTGACCACGGGCAACTTTCTGGGATCCAGCGAGCAATGTGGTAAATGAGCTCCAGAACCTATTGAGCTTGCAGGCAAGCCAGTTCCAGCAAGAAAAGATTTTTTTAATAGACCAAACCCTAAGCTCTACAGGGGCCCAGTACAGTTGTTTGGCCTACCTGATGCTATCTCTAAACTACTTTTAAAATGAAGAAATTTGGGTGTTTCATGTCAGTGAATTATCTTTTCTCTTGGACTTAATAAACATACTGTTCCATACATAGTGCAATGAGTAGTATAATAAATATTTTCTGTTAATATGTTTTTTATACCCTCCTTATAAGTTTAATCTTTTAGTAACATATAAGGGTTTTTGTTTTTAAGAGCATTATTTCATAAAATGTTATACATAATCCAACTAATTGACATGTAGCTCATTTATGGCAGTTTGTAATCCTGGGCTAGCTTTCCTGACCTGCAGAGCTCCCCTTCCTATTATTGTTGGATAACACAGTAGATTGGATAGCAAGGTTGCTATTCTGGATTATCTAATGCTCCACTTCTTTGTGTGATGGCTGAACAAAAGAACCACTAAGTGTTTTCTTGTCCATCCTTAAGGGACTTTAAAACAAATTATGTCTCTTTAAGTCCTTGAAGGTTTCCATCCAAAGAGGAAGAGTTTTGTTGGAACAGTATATATTCCACATTTTTATGTTTATTTAATTCATAACAGAAATGAGTAAGGGTAGCACACAGTTCTCATTCAGTAACTCAACAGTGTGATCAGCCCAGTGATAAAAATACACATATTGGAGTACCTACTTAACATCAGGAAAATATTCCTGGAGAACTTATTAATAAATCAGGAGGTGAGGGGTGAGATTTTTTTCTGCACACAGAGGGAACAAAAGCACAAAGAAGCAAAGGCACTCTAGCATCGGAGAACCACAGTCACTTCAGTGGATCAGATATATGAAGCACAAGACAAGGCTCATATAGTGGAGGATCTCACAAATCATGTGAAGGAATTAAGACTGACATACCAGGTATTAGATAGTTTTAAGCACAGGAATGACATCATCAGTTTGTAACACAGGTAAGTGATGGCTGTGTGGCAGATGGCCATGAGAGGAAAAGGCTACAGGCAAGACAACCAGTTAGGAGGATGTCTTAATTGTTGAGGAAGATGAAGGCCTGAACTAACATTGTGGTATTTACTAGAGAAGAGAGGACAGATTTTTAAAGTTTTAGGAAAGAAAATTGGGCAAGACTTACAAGACTGATTATATCTAAGAGGTAAAGATGGCTCTCTCAGTTCCTGATAAAAGTGTCTAGATAGATGGTAGAGGGCAACTCCAAGATAGAAAATTTGGAAAAAGAACAGATTTAGGGGAAACAGAAGATAAGCGAGTTCAGGTTCCAGTCATACAGTGTTGGAGATGCCTGTGTCATCTGATGAAGACTAGTATGCAGCTGGATAGCAGAGTCTGAAACTCAGGTGGAGGTGAAGTTATGAGGGAATTATCACAATCTAGTTTGGATTCATATTTCTTACATATGTATGACAACTTACCAACTGGAATGTTCTAGCTAATAACTAGTAACTAGTGTTAATCAAATCATAACTAGAACAATCAGATTTACTGATTTCTGGCATATCATTGAAAGGACACCCCACATCTTTTTGGTTTGTTTGAATAAGTCCAAGTATGATCCATGTATTTCATTTGGTTGCTACATCTCTTACATCCCTTTTGTTCTTTAAACCTCTTCTCCACAACTTTATGTCATTCATTTGTGGGAGGAACCGGGCCATTTTTCCTGTAGAATGTCCAACATTTAGCTGTTTGCTTCTTTCGTGTGTTTTTAAATGTATTCCTGTCACCCAAATTCCCTATAAACTGGTAGTTACATTGAGACTGGCCTAGATTCAGGCTCCGTGTTTTGGAGATGAATTTTCATCAGCAGTGCTGTGTACTGTTACACCAGAAGGCACGTTATCTGTCTGTCCAACTTTGAATGCTGCTTGACCAGTAGGTTCAGGGATCAGCCTGGTCCCTGCATTTGAAGTTAACCATTCATTAACCTGCCACTCAATGGTTTTTGCTTTTTTTTGTTTTACAGCATTTTAATATACTTCACAAATTTGCATGTCATCCTTGCACAGGGGCCATGCTAATCTCTGTATCATTCAATTTTAATATATGTGCTGCTGAAGCAAGCAGTTTTTGCTTTTCATTGGTGATTGTTACTCTGATCTGTTGTTTTATTAAGGTTTGCAATTGTAGTTTTCTAATTCCATAATTTTTCTGTATTGGCTAGAATTTTTCTGTCAAGAACTTTTCCTTATCAGCAATTTATTTTCCTGAAATAGATTTCTTCAAGATAAATGCATGATTCTTTAACAATTTTTAGAGTAAATGAGTTGGTGCTCTAGCCAATGAAAATGGTAACAATCATTTATTTTTCACTGTAGTGAACTTGCAAATTTTGTGTATATTGTTTCAATCTATTCCATTCATTATTTCTTGATGCTCAAATTGTCCCATTACCAGTGGGAGCCCCTTAAGTTGTTTACTGTATCCTACTGAATTGGTACAGAATTATTCAGTATTTCCTTGTTTTCTGAGATAAGCTAACCCAGGTCTACTTTGTGCATTTCCTGCCTCAGACACTTTTTCCAAGGGTTGGTGGACCTTTTTGTAGGAAATAGTGTTTAGAGACCACACTGAGCACTAGGCAGTGCTGATGGCTATTATCATCATTGCATTTAGGTCCTTTCAGCGGGCCTACCTAGGCAAGTCTTTTTTTAAAAGGTAAAAATAGACCGGGTGCGGTGGCTCACGCCTATAATCCCAGCACCTTGGGAGGTTGAGGCGGGTGGATCATTTGAGGTCAGGAGTTTGAGACCCAGCCTGGCCAACATGGTGAAACCCTGTCTCTACCAAAAAATACAAAAATTAGCTGGGTGTGGTGGCGCACACCTATAGTCCCAGCTCCTCGGGAGGCTGAGGCTGGAGAATCCCCTTGAACCTGGGAGGCAGAGGTTGCAGTGAGCTGATACTGCACCACTGCACCCCAGCCTGGGCAACAGAGCAAGACCCCGTCTCAAAAAAAAAAAAAAAATGGTGAGTTTTTATTGATTTTAGAATGTATTTAATACAAATACAAAAATCTTAGCTCCTAATGACATCAGCCTGTTTACCTTTATCATAAATTATATTGAAAGTTTCAATATAATTTTACTGCTAACACTAGTGATTATAGTTTTAGATTCACTTGTGGTTTTTTTGTCCTTAGAATCCATCTCACTACCAATGGGCGAACACTTGTGTTCTAGTTATTTGAAAGTAGTTTGTACTACCAACTTGATGTATATACATGCTGTAGTTTGAACATTTGTGTACTTCTAAAATTCACATGGCTATCTAATCCACAATGCATTGACATTATTAAGAGGTGGGGCCCTTAGGGGGTGATTAGGCCAGGATGGCTCCACACTCATGGATGGGATCAGTGCCTTTCTAAGAGGGCTTGAGGGAGAGTTTGTCCCTTTTACCCTTCCGATACTGCAAGAAGGCACCATACTGGAAGCAGAAAGCAAGCCCTTACCAGACACCAATCTACTGGTGCCAAATCTTAGACTTCCCCAGCTTCCAGAAGTGCAAGAAATAAATATTATTTATGAATTCTTAGTCTGTGGCATTTTGTTACAGCAGCAGGAATAGATTAAGACAATGTGTTGGTGGGTTTAGGGTCATTTTTTACTTTATCAATCATATTAAATTTTAGATGGTTCTAACATCAAAACTCTAGAAAAAGTTACATTCACAGACTAGCTTTCATCCTCATCTCCTTCCTTCCCCTGCTAACAATATTTATTAGCTTTGGGTTTACCCGAGTTTCTTTTTGAAACATAAGCAGATACACCTATGTGCATACATTTGCATTTCTCACCCTTTCTTACACAAACCCAGTGGGTATACCATAAATGTTCCGCACTTTGCTTTTCCCCTTACTCTATCCTGGTGACCGTTTTACATTATACAGAAATCTTCATTGTTTTGTGACTCCCTCATGTGGATGAACCGTAATACTTTCCTGTTTAATACACTTGGGTATTTCTGATCTTTTGCATATAGCATTCTAAATTTTTGTAAATGCATACCTTTCAGAGCCCAGAAAGAAGTTAAAATTCTGAGTCAGAGGATAAATGCGTATGTAATTCTGATGGTTATTACCAAATACTCTTTTTGAGACAGGAGTCTTACTCTGTCACCCAGGCTGGAGTGCAGTGGCACAATCTTAGCTCACTGCAAACTGTGCCTCCCGGGTCCAAGTGATTCTTGTCCCTCAGCCTCCCAGGTTCAAGTGATTCTCGTCCCTTGGCCTCCCAGGTTCAAGTGATTCTTGTCCCTCAGCTTCCCGAGTAGCAGGCATCTGCCACCATGCCCAGCTAGTTTTTTTTATTTTCAGTAGACAGGATTTCGCCATGTTGGCCAGGATGGTCTCAAACTCCTGACCTCAAGTGATCCGCCCGCCTTGGCCTCCCAAATGTTGGGATCACAGGCGTGAGCCACTGCACCCACCTAAATACTCTTGAGTGTTAACCAGAGTTTAACTTTTTCATTCCATTCCCATATATGTGTCCTTATTTCTCCACAGCCTCAACACTGAATACATTTGTTTTTAAACTTTTTCCAGTGAAAGGTAAAAAGAAACTGTGGTTTATTCTCTTTTGAACAAGGTAAGCATCTTTACAGGTTAAAGATCATTTACATTTCTTTTTGTATGAAGTATTCTTAATTATTGGAATCCTCTCAATACATTGTTTGCTTTGGATTGTGGTGGGGTTTTTCTTGTCCTATAAACATTTTTATGTAGTTAAAACTGATCAAATTTTGTTTCTTCTAGGTTTTAAGTCACATATAATGTAGTTTTCCCCCATTTTCTTTTAGTATTTGTATGCTTTCATTTTTTTTTTTTTTTTTTTTTT